AACGTGTTTCCCACCTCACCAGCCCACCCCGGGATCAGCTTCACTCCCTGTAAGACCCCCAATTCTCACAGCAGAACGTGGGGAATTCAGCCCTCGCTTCTCCACCTGCCACTGCCTGACCTGAAGAACCGCACTCGGGAGGCCTGGGTGTCGGGCACACACCGCACAGGGCCAGGACTTGCGGCAATGAGCCAGCCGCAGTCTCCTCGTAGGACCATTTCTAGGCAAAACCTGCAAACCTACCTGCATGTTCCCACCGGATGGCGCCCCCAGGGGCCTTCCCGCAGAAGCTCATCCACTCACGCAGAGCACAATGGTGTCAGGGGAGACACTTCTGCGCCCTGAGAACACCAGGTCCTCTCAGCCTGAACACCTCCCACCCCCACGCCCATCCCACCACCACCAAGGGCACTCGAACAATCTCCGACTTCTCCCTTCCCAAGGAAGCCAAGGCCAGGAAAAGAAAGTTCTGTGTCAACCCTCAGAGCTGCACGCAGGGAACCCCTGGCCGTGCAGATGGCAGGGAGGGCAGCTCACAAGGCCGGCCTTGCTGTGGGGCCTGAACGGGCCACGTCTCTGAGTGTGTGCAGTAGCTACTGGGGTGAAAGGGTGGAAAGGGCGGCCGAGGGCCCACAGCTTGGTCCCAGGGCTCCGCCTGAGCACGTGTGCAGCCCGAGGCTGTGAGGCTGCCTCTCCCGTTACTGCTGCTGAGCGAGCGGAGCGCCTAGCTTGGTGAAGTTCCCTCTTGGGGGAGACTTGATGTGAGGCCAATAGAAAGTCAAAACAAAGGCAACCTTCATTTTGATCGTTGTATTCAGCCAAAATGAAAATGAATCCGGGAAATGAATCCTTTGTGCAAAGGCCCTCCAATAGATGTTTTCCAAGCAGAACTGAAACCTGGGTTCCTGGCAAGGGAGCCTTCTGGACTCTGGTTCGCTCTGGTTCGAAAACCACCTGGCTTCTGCCCTGACAGAGTCCTGGGCTGCAGCACAGCAGCGCCCCCTGTGGGTCAGCGTGGCTGTCAAAGGGGACGGAGCCACAGCAGAGCCTGGCTCAGTGCTAAGCCGCATGTGTGTGATCACACCTGACCCATACCGTGTCCCCTGGACCCACAGACACGCACACGTGAGGCTTGCCAACGGTGACTCAAGACTTGGAAATGGACTTCAAGAAGCATCTTCCCTCAAGGCCACCCTGTGTTCTTGGCACGCTGGTCTCCAGTTAGAGGCAGATATAGAAGTTCTACACTCCAGTCTCCTCCAACTGCACACAGAACCCTCTTAAATAGCAGAATGGAGTGACCCCAATAAGTCCAATTAAAAGAGAGAGAGAGAAATGCGGGAGCTGACCTAAGTCCCCACAAATAGCTTTTTGGGAGAACCAGAAATACCCAGACTCCCTGACAAGGGGCGGCCTGACGTCCCCACCACCCCCGCTGCCTTTGGGACGGCTTGGCAGCGGCCTCCTTGTCTTGTACAAGCAGCAGATGCGGAGCCCCCTGAGGCTTAGGAGGGAGGTGAGGACTTAACCAGGCCCCCACCCGTGGTCTGGGTCTGGCCCAAGGCGAGTCTCCTCCCACTGCCCGCAACCTGAAAGCAGAAGGATCTGGGCCTTGGCCCACTGGTTCAAACTTTGGGGGGAGGAACTCTGAATGTGTAAGAGAAAAGGATGCCCCAGTCCCTGGGGCATTGAGACCTGAAACCTGCCTTCAGATGCTTCATGGTGAAGCTCTACCTTATGCAACACCAGATGATACTATTTTTTGAGGGAAGTCATATGTCTCTGTAATACTTTCACTTAGCAAGTCAAATAGACACTGACTTTTCAAATGACACAATTCATGTGAATTACTTTAACAAAAAAAATTCACGCAGTCAGTAAATCCCAGACGTGAGCAGGGGCTAAACTCAGCACTGGGTACAGGAGTGGGTGGGCTGGGTGCAGAGTACCCCTCGGGGGGAGATGAGTTGAAAACAAGGCTTAACAGAATATCATCTATGCTTTTCCAAAAACACACTGCATAAAGTAAAGAACAACACATCGATTACAGATTAAGCACAGAAAAAGAGGCAAGCAAAGGAAAGACAGACTGTGGGGGCCTGAAGCTGGCCTTGAGCTGAGTCAGGACGCCAATCAACCCAGGTTTACCAGGCTGGGGGCTGATGCTGTCACCCAGGGTCTGGTGGCTCTGTGGGGACAGAGCGCCATCTACTGTTGGCACAGCCACAGCACGGGCCGCAGATGCGGAAAGGAAAACATCCTCCCTTCCCAGGGGATTCAGGCTGAACTCACATTAAGTACACTGACAAATGCCAGAATCAAAGCCTGTGTTACCGTGCGACAGTCACCCTGAGAGAGGAGTATTGCCCTCGCTATGTTCCTGACACCGAGCCCCTCATTAACAATCCGGGGCTCTGAGGACTAAATCTACTGCTGCTTCTGAGGTTCGAGGTGAGCAGAGCGCAGGGTTCCTTGTCTATTTGACTTAGGAGGAGTATTAATAACAGATGGCCCATGTCCCTAAGGTCCCTGGAGCTGGGTCCCTAACATTAGAAGCTGGGACAGCCCTTCTGAGGTCACATTTTTAGGGGAGGAGACATGGAGGAAGAAGAGGAAAGTAAAACCGGAGTATGAGGCCTTTGTGTATCCCAGAGAAGTGCTCACTGTGAGTGACTATGTTCTGTAAAAAATAAAAAGAACTCGAGCTGTTGAAAATCCCATGCTGCCCGAGGGAAGGAAGGGGAGCTTCGTGTAGCAAGTGCGCACGGCGAGCTGGTGTTACCGAATCCCCACAATGACCCAGAGATGTGAACCTAGGGCTCCACATCCTGACTCCGGTTTACGAGTGAGTAAACCGAGGTCCACTGTCGCACGGCCAGAACGTTCCTTCCCAAGCTCTTCTGGCTTTCATTCCTGCTGGATTTTACATGTGCTCTGTCCTCAGGACACTGGCCAAGAGGTGGTATCTCAGGACAGACCAGTGACCCCAGAGGTCGTCTTCCCTGAGCTCCCGGAGCTGGACGCATGGGTTGCTCCTCCTCGAAGCCAGGCAGAGCCGGCCGGCGTCTGCCTACCAGTAACTCATGAAACCCCTTCCCTCCTTTTTCCATTATGCACGTAAATGCATCTATTGCACTGGGGAAACGTTGCATTGAAAGTCCTGGAGGCTAAAATCATTTCTCCAGCCCAGTGTGATGGCTGGAAAGCTGTGCCTGTTCGCAGTCAGCTGCTGACTGCCCTGCCGGGGCCCCCGCCTAGACTCTGGAAGGTTCTTTTAGGGGAGTGGGTTTTTATATAAAAGGGGAAAGAAGGGAAAGAAATAAAACAGGGCAGAAGAAAAGGCGGGTATTTTAGCCATTATTGTACTGTTCTTTTCTTTTACCAGTCAGTGTCATTTTTCCCCCTGAGATTTTAAAAGCCTAGGATAGGGCTCACCCTGGTATGCTCTGCCTGCTTGCCTAGACGGTGGTCAACCCAACCTCCTGGACGCCCTGTCCTCACCTGTGTTGGCACCTGAGGACCAATTCGTCACTTCTCCATCACTGGACTCCTGGTATGCACATGTCCCACTTGTCTCAGCCATGGACTTGCTGATGTCCACCACTCAGGCCTTCGGCACGACTTCATCCCGACACTTTCCCAGTCTATCCTGCCCCTCGCTCTCCATGCCCTGCAATGACAAAGATGGGAAAGATGTATTTGGGTGGGGAGGTGGCTTTGCCCCTGGTCTGCATCACTCACCGTGGGGAGTGCTGGAGGAAACCCTGGGGTGCAGGCCTGCAGGGCACAAGGCATCCCTGAGTTGCCGCTGTGGTCCACGGGCTCAGGGCAGCACATGCGAGGCACAGGAGGGCGGTTCGGACCACCAGGAAGTCAGACTTCATTTGAGCCCATCCACACCAAGAAAACCATCTCACTGTAGTCCAAGCATCGTGAATGGGCTGACGGCACCACCTTCCCAACATCCCCTCCCCTCCAAAAAAAGATCCAAAATTGCCTTCATGAACCAAAGTAGTAATATTTAATTAAAACAACTATTTACAATGGCAGGATCTGAAAACAGAGATACTGATAAATAAATTAAAATAAACATCTTTTAAAGACTATAAATATGTGATTTTCATTTATAAAATCAGTAGTACCTCATGTATCTGGAGCTTTATGGCGAACCATTTCACATGTTATCATTCGGAAGAAATAAAGATTTCTCTAAATGAAGTACTTTTCCACCTCCCTGAGCCATGCTCTGAGAGGGCTCCCTCCTTCTCCATCAGTGACCTTCTTTGACTTTACCAGTGGGCACACTTTCCTCCCGTTATTCAGCCTTCTTCAGTCTGCTGAGGACTGGGAGACCAGAGAGCCATGTTTGTTAGAAAGTTTGTAAACTAGGAAGATAGAATTTCAGTGGGTGGCAGTAAGATGCTAAGCTTTGAGTGAAATGCATGGGCTTTGGGAAATGGCCTTTGTTCTGGTTTTCCATAGTGGGGTCTCTGGGTGGGGGGGGGCTGCTACGAAAGTGAGGGGTCACTGTAGTTCAAAAAAGCAGATACACCAGCCATGCACTGATTGACCCTATGAGGTGGCGCGGGTGTGGTGTTCTTCTTCGATATAGGTCCATGGAGGGTTTCTGGACTGATTTGAAATGGATCTGAGAGTCTGTAGATCAAGTAAACAGACTGACATTTGTCACATACAGGAAGCCCTTTAAGTACTCAGGTGTTTAAAATCCACTGGTCCTCCCCCTCCCCAAATCCAATCATCTGGAGATATTGTAGAAGATCACCCAGGGACCTCGGATGCCAGAGCTAGCCCATCCCACCTGAACCCCACCTATTCTGTTATCCTCTGTGTTCTTGAAAGCTCAGCATATCCCCACCCAAACACTTGGAACCCGCCCCCACCAATTTACAGAGGTTGGCATACTTTGTCAAACATAGCATTTCCTCTTCAGATCTGGAAACTTGGAGTGTTACCCCAAGTGTGATGACACTTGCCCTGGAGGCAGTGTGGCAGAGGGGCTAAGACACAACTCTGGAGTCATATTGCTTAGGCCACGTGTCTCTGCTTGGGACAAGATTGTAGCCATAGGGAACAAGAGCTGTTCTTTACAAGTCCAAGGCAGTCCTTGCTCCCTCCCTCTGCTTTCTGCACGGTGGCCATTCAAAGGAGACATCTATGGAAGAGAAGTCTTCTCCACTGGACCCATGGTCCTGAGGTGCAGTGAGTGAGTTAAGCATCAGTTGTCTCAGCCCACAATTACCGTGGGCCACGTGGACAGTCCTCAGTGAAAGCAGGTGGCTCTCCAGCCTTCTCAGGAGTACATAATCATCAGCAGCCACTGCATAGAATGGGGAAAAAATTATGGCCAAAATTATGGCCTCTAACCCTGACATTTGGTTAGAGGTGCTTTGTTTCTCAGTCACAGGTCCCACAGCCTGACATTGGACTTGGGGCCCCCTCCCCCTCACTCCTGGGGAAGCCATGGAGACAGGATATTAATGAATGGTTTAGCCAGAGGGACCACACCATCTGGTAATACGTTTATAAATCAACCTGAAATATAATCAACCTTGACTTCTCATGGTGCCTGAGAATGAATGATGATAGCCAAGATACAGACTGATTCTGTATTCAATTCTCAGTGCCTTTTTCCCATGAATTCAATTTGGCATGCTCGTGACAGCTGTGTGTGCAGGTGTATGGACCGGCCAGGTAGCAGAAATCCATTAGAGCATATTCTACATGTTTACATTTATAGACCCATTAGTCTGACAGCTTTATGTGGGTGTGATGAATGGTCCCTCTAATTCACACACAGGGCACTTCTGGAGAAACTACTTCCAAGGCCAATTACATCCCAATGATAATGCTGATAACGGTGACGATGAAGATGTTAATGGTGAAGTAAGTTACCAATGGTGTCAAAGAAAACCCCACAGTAAAATTCCAGCAAGTTGGCTGCCAGTCCTTGTAGAACTCCTTGGATGGCCCTGGAAATCTCCTCCTCATGAAACCAGAAATGGTCAGAGCTGGAGGGGATTTCAGGGAGCACCGAGCCCAGCCCACACCCTGAGCTCTAACATGTTTTGCTGGTTACTAGAGTGCAGTGGGGTCGGCCAGGTCTCAGTCCAATCTTCCTCCATTGCAGCTCCCTGCACTGCCAGCCTGCTCAGGCTGGGGGCTGTCCTGTTTCAACTGCACGCTCACATTGCCCTGCTCTCTCAGGTCTGAGCCTGCGCTGTGGAAGGATTGCCTGGGATGAGGACGTGACCTTGGGGATCTTAGGTGAGAATGGGCTCAGAAGACTCTATTGCTCCTCCAGCTGAATCCCACCTTCACACCTGAACACAGGAGCGACTGAGGGGAGGCACATGCTAAGGGTCCCTCTATCTTGGGAAGATATTCCATAAAATGGACATTTGAGGTCAAAGAAGAAGCCCCAGCTTTCAGTAGGTCCTGTCTAAGCAGCCCCAACCGAAGATGTGTCTCAGAAAGAAAGAACAGGGTCCAGACCCCAATATCTTTGCAGCGAACACAGCAGGCACTCGGTACACCCATGAGATTTGAATGTCAAGGGAGACAGGTGGTATCAGGCACACATTTGTCTTCTCCTTAGCCTATCGCCTCAACCACTCAACATTTGTCAACACCTACTTGTGGCAAAGCACTATATGAGATTCAAGATAAGGGCACAGAGACTAGGTTAGAACCCCTTCCATTTGGGGAAAGCTAAGCCAGCCCTCGAAATGAGGTTTATTTCTGGCCTGTATGGCCTGATGTTTCCAGACTCACTCTGAGCCAGTTTCTTTGTTCTCTATACTCCAGCCAGGATTGAACTTGCTGTTCCCTCTGGCCTGGGCCTTTCCTAGTCTTCACTCTGCCTTCTGGCTCCTTCTTATCTTTGAGTTTCCCCTTCTGTGTCACCTCCTCCAGAAAAGCCTTTGTGGAACAAGCTACCTAGTCCAGCTCTCCTATGACTGTCTGTGTTCAGGTTCATCGCTGGCCCAGGTCTTCACCCCCTCTGCGTCCATGCCCTCTGCAGGTGACTTTGAAGTTCCTCCCGTGATGGAGGAGAAGGCTAGTTCCCCATATGTTGGAAGTGGGCTTGGCCACATGACTTGCTTTGGACAACAAAATGAGTTGCACGGCATGTAGTCCCTAGACGTGGAGTCCTTGCGTGCTTCAGTTCACTCCCCTTTGCTCCTGCCATTGTTCTGAGAAAGGCGAGCATGGCCAGAGCTTCCTCAGTGAAGCTGCCAGAAAGGCTCCTGGCGCACCCACAACCACTAGCCAGCCAGCTGAGACTCCCTGACTCCCAGCATGTGACTGGGGAGCTAAGTAAATGCCCTCATCACCACGGAAGTTGTGTGGATCTGTCACATGGCATTATTGTGGTCATAGTCATTGGGTGCACTGAGTCAGTCTCCTGTTCCCCTCATATGTGCCTCGCACTGAGTGGGTGCTCACTGAGTATTTTATGACTACATGAGTGAATATTCAAAGTGAATTCAGTGCCGCATCCTGAACTCAGGAGAATGAAGGGATCCGCCAAACCCTTCTTCTTCATGGGAGCCTGGACCTGCAGTAGCCCCTGCTACATTACATGGCATGATCCAACCCCTGGAGAAAGTCTTACCTCTGGCTTCTGTAGGTATATCCCTTTGCCATCTTGGGTTAAGTTTTGGAAGATACCTGTGAAAATGCAGAAGAAAGAAACAACAGCTAAAGTGTTTTGAAAATATTCCGAACTGGTTCTGCCCATATGTCTCCTCACCTGGGAACCCAACGGTGGAAGCACATGTGGCCACACCTATCATAAATGAGCTGCCTCCCACCTTTGCCTCTGGAACAGGCAGGGTGCAAATTAGTTGGGAGTGGATGCATCCAGTTTCCCAGGCACGTAGCCAGTGCCCCCCATAGCTCCTTGGCCTGTTGTTTATGCACTGGCAGCTGTCCTCCCTCTTGCTTGAACTGGGGACAGGTGGACAATCCAGGAGCAGTGCAGAGAAAGCCCTGGCCCTCCCCCCTTCCCACCAGCTCACTCTCCATCTTCTCCACACGCAGCATCAAGTGGACAAAGCTGACAAAGTCCATCTGGAGCTTGGGGCCACCATAGCGGATGAGCATCAGGTAGCAAATGTCATCACTGAGCACGATTCCTGCATCAAACACAAATTCCTGCTGTGGGTGCTGGGGACCTCACACCCAGCTCCCCTTCCATTTTAGACCCCTACACTGTCCCTCCTCTTCTGGGACCTTAGTCCCAAAAGCATAGGGGACCTTCTTTTATGGACTTCATTGTGAATTATTTAACTATTTAGTCGATCCCATTTTAAAAAAGATTTTATTTATTTATTTTTAGAGAGGGGAAGGGAGGGAGAAAGAAAGAGAGAAACATCAATGTATGGTTGCCTCTGATGTGGCCCCCACTGGGGACCTGGCCCACAACCCAGGCATGTGCCCTGACTGGGAATGGAACCTGCAACCCTGTGGTCAGTAACCTGTGCTCAATCCACTGAGATATGCCACCCAGGGCTATTTAGTCCATTCATTTTATCTCTACCCTCCTCTCCTGCCCCCTTGGGAAACCACCATGAAGATCTTTTTGTCAATTGGGTTATTGGCCTTCAGGGCAAGAGGCAGTCTATTAGGGGTCAAGAGCATCTGCTTTGGAGCCTGGTGGTCCTGAACTTAAACTCCAGGCAAGTTATCTAGCTTCCCTGAGCTTCAATTTCTCCTTCTCCTTCATGGGAACTTTTTCTATAAAGTGGGGATTAGAAAAGGGCATTATTGAAAATTAAATGAGAATGTGGATGTGCCAACCCTCGATAATTGTTAGCAATTATTACAATGATAATAATAAATGTATCTGTTATTTGTAGAGCTATGTGTTTGGATCTCTGAATGGGGAGTAATTTTGTGCATTAGAATTACCCCAGAATGTTATGCAATGCACCCCCCACCTGTTCATACCTACAGCACCAGCTCCCCCATGCCCACCTGCATTCTTCATGGCAGCCCGCAGCTGTCCCCAGTTCAGGCATCCTGACCTGTTACTGTCATGCTTGTGGAAAACCACCTATGAAGAACAAAATGTTAAGGGGACCCCCAAGACCCCTCTGTCCCCAGTGTCCGTGTTGCTGAGTACAGCTGGAGAGTGGAGGCTCCATCAGCAGGGCCTGCTGCCCAGACAGAGGGTGTATGCCAGGATCCCACCACCTTGCCCATTTCTTCTGAAGGCTTCTGAGAAAGGGAGTGGTCTTTAGGTCACAGGGGTTAGATAGTCCTAGTATATGTAAATGTGCTTAGTCTAAGCATATTACCCAACCTTTGTTCGGCTTCCAACTTTATGACTCAGGAGACAAGGGGGAGAGCTGTGAGTAATGACTGGAAAAGTAGGGAGGAGCTAAGTTATGAAGGACTTTAATGCCACACTGAAGAGTGTGGACTTTCTCTGAAGGCTGTGGGGAGTCTCACAGAGCTTTGTTGGAGGAAGTGATGTAATCGGATGTGAGCTTTAGAGACTCAGGAGAGTAGTGCAACAGGCCCCCGGAGTTTGCGTGAGAGAGCGGAGTCTCACTGGAGGAAGAGCAGAGAAGACTGGGTGGTTGGGTTTAAAAGGCTGAAAGGGAGAAAAGTAAGTTCTTTGCATACTTTGCAGAATTGCCATTCTGCAGCATCCTGCAAGACTTGTGCTTACCTGATAGTGAATCAGCTGCTTCCACAAGTCTCTGAATTCCTGGATACCCATGGTACCAGATGCATTAAGCTACCAGATGCAGGGTTAAGGTCAAAGCCGCCATGGAAGATTCATCTATGCCTCTGGAGGCAGTAATGGGCCTTCCATACAACACCGTGTGATTGGCAGACAGCCCCACTCGATGTCAGGTATCTCTCGTGGCCTCCAGCCCGGGGCTCCCTGCCCTTACTGGGGAAGCACAGAATGAGCTGCAACACAGCAGCCTGAAGAGAAGTGCTGATGATGGTGAATGGTGGCAATGACAATCGCTACCATTTAGTGAAGCAGGATATTTTGACATGGCCAATTTGATTGGATTTGATTTTTTTTTTAAAAAGCAGTTACTATTTTTCATTACTGTCAAAGCCGACTTATGGAAGGAGTCAGGTGGCTAAGGATGCTTCTCATATTCAGTCATTTTATGAAAAGTTAAAAGCTTAATGGTTGGCCTTGTGGATCATGTTCTAATACCCTTGCATTAGGGAGACTGGGTCAACACGCCGCCATTACAGGGGGTCTAGCCCTGAGTTCCCTGCTTTATCGTGTTACTTCATTTTCACCTGGTAGGTGAGATTGGTGTTACCTTGTCCCTGTCATGGATGAGGAAATGAGGGCTCAATGAGTCTGATCATGTCCAAGTTTGTACAGCTGGTGACAAGGCTGGGACCTGTTCCAATGCCTGGCACTGTCCCATGCTGTCTGTGCTCTCTACAAAGTTTCTGCAGACACTGTGGTTTGTATTTGCTACCCCACTCCCCCGACCCACACACACACACTCATCCTATGTGCCTATCTGTACTACAGACAACCAAACTTTGATTAAAGTGTCCACTTAGACGGGCACAAGTTTTGCTTAAAAAAATTAATAAATTGCAGAGCTGAGAACAAGGGAAAGCTGAGTTTGCAGCAAGTTGTTGAACTTTGTTGAACTTCCTGAGATTCCTGACCTGTAAATGGGGGCAGCCACTGCCTGGTCACTGAATGGAAAACTTAGTACCTTGAAGCTCTTGTGAAAGTTTCTTGGAAATCTGGAGAATTGTTACTAACCACCACCCTGCAGCTGCCTCATCCTCACTATCAGACTACTGTTACTAATAGTTAATATTAATCAGTTTTCCCAGGACAGTTCTGTCCTGAGCACTTCACATAGCTTATCCTGTTCATTTTCTCACACAGATCCTACTGACGAAGCTCAAATGCCATCTCCATGCTGCAGACAAGGACCTGGAGGCTAAGGGACTTTCCCAAGATGACCCAACTAGTAAGCACCAAGGTTGGGATTCAAACCCAGACAGCCCAGCCTGGCTTCAGAGCAAAGCTCTCCACCTGCAGTGTGCATCCTCCCACAGACAAGAAAAGATACGTCCAGAAGAGCCAGGATCCCCTGGCAGGCATCGAGGCTGAAGAGGGGATGCGTGCTCTCCAGACCTGTAGAAGAACAGAAAGAGTTCATGGGGATGGCCCAGGACAGCACAGCACAGCACAGCCGTTTTCTGGATGGGACCAGACAGTGTCACCTATGCCCGCCACAGGTTCCGATAACTATCATTTATGTGGGAAAGGAAGAAACAAAGAGCCATGGAGGGAGAGGGAAGGCTTGCTGATGATCTCTGCACCCAAGTTGCACAGTAAGCAATTGTGCTTACTACAATGTGGAGAACCCCAATTGTAACCTGGAATTGCCTATAGAGCGAGTCAGAAGAACATGGCCCTCGGTGCCCAGCAAGGGCCAGGATCTGAGAATTATGGACTCTATGAGAGACATCTGAGAGGTCAACTTGATCCAGCTCCCACCTAAATTAGGAAGTGCTTTCCTCAGATGTCTTGACGATGGTCAGCCAATGAGAGGTGCTCCCCTGGATGGCTACCTCCATTCAGGAGAAACTTCCTATGTTAATTCCAAAGCAAGCTCCTATAAGACACACTTACTATTCCTTATTCTGCCTCTAGCAAAGCATAAACAGGTTTTTGTCTCCTGTCAACATTTCTCCAACTGTTATCCAGATGATATGGTTTCTAAATCCTCATTGCCCTCTTCTAGATCCATGCTTTCCCAGAATCTTGCTAAAATAAGACACACTCCTTCAGAGGCAACTTGATTAAGCAGAGTATAATGGTTCTATCACTTGCAAAATTTTCAGTCTGCATTTTCCAAATTATGTTCCAAGAGAGATTTTCTGCAGAGAAAGAATTCTGAGTTCAAATAAATTTGAAATGCTTTGCATCTATAGATGCTTTTCTCCATTCACCAGTTGCCCTAGTATATAAGAGGTATGGAGGGGCCAACACTGAAATTTTGACACAAAATCTGTCAAGCAAGCACACTTGACTTAACCGCTTCTATTTCATGGGACACTTACTAAAACTCCTTGGTTTCTAATGTTTCTTAGAATAGAATTTCAAAAGCACAAATCTATACTTCTGGCCAAAATGGAGGCATATACAGATACACTTTGCCCCCTCACACAACCAAAAAAAGGACAACAACAAATTTTAAAACAAAAAATTACCAGAACTGCCAGCAAATTGATCTGTGTGGAAGTCCGACAACCAAAGAGTTAAAGAAGAAACATTCATCCAGACCAGTAGGAGGGGGAGAGACAGGCAGTTGGGGCAGAGAGGATGCATGGCAAGGTGGCAGGCAGCTGGAGGACCAGGCAGGCAAAGTGGTGGTTGACAGACTAGGAGGTCCCGCATTTGCATGTGGATAAACCAGGAGGATTGACTGGCGAGCAAGACGGACTGTTCAACCCAGGGTTACAGCATGGGAAAAGAAAGCCTCAAAACCTCTTGCTGTAAAAACATGTGGGGGCTTGTGGCAGTAGGAGAAAGTCCCAGCCTCATAGGAGAATTCGTTGAAGAGACCCACCCACCCAGGAATCAACACCAGAAGGGCCCAACTTGCTTGTGGGTAGTGGGGAAGTGACTGAAAGCTAGGTGAAAGCTTAGCAAGTGACATTGTTCCTTCTGGGACCCTCTCTTACATACAGCACCACAAGGCAACAATGTGGGTTGCCTCACCCTGGTGAATGCCTAATGCGCTACCCTTTACAATGTAACAGGGGCGCTGAGACAAAAAAAAATATAGCACAAATGAAAGAACAGACCAAAATTTCAAAAGTAGAACTAAGTGATGAAGAGATAGCCAACATTTCAGATGTTGAGTTCAAAACACTAGTAATCAGGATGCTCACAGAAATGGTTGAGTGTGGTCACAAAATAGAGGAAAAAGTGAAGGCTATGCAAAGTGAAATAAAGAAAAATAGACTGGGAACCAATAGTGAAGGGAAGGAAACCAGGACCTGAATCAATGGTTTGGACCAGAAAGAAGAAATACACATTCAACCAGACCAGAATGAAGAAAAAAGAACTCAAAAAAAAAATGAGAAGAGGCTTAGGAACCTCCGGGACAACTTTAAATATCCCAACATTCAAACCATAGGGGTGCCAAAGAAGAGAAACAGTGAGAAATTGAAAACATAATGAAGGAGAACTTCCCTAATATGGAGAAGAAAATATACTTCAAGGAAGTCCAGAAAGCTCAGAGAGTCCCAAAGAAGTTGGACCCAAGGAAGCACATACCCATGCACATCATAATTACATTACCCAACATTAAAGATAGGAGAGAATCTTAAAAGCAGCAAGAGAAAAGGAGACAATTACCTGCAAAGGAATTCCCATAAGACCATCAGCTGATTTCTCAAAAGAAACCTTGCAAGGAAGAAGGAGCTGGAAAGAAGTATTCAAAGTCATGAAAGGCAAGCAACTACATCCAAGATTACTTTATCCAGCAAAGCTATCATTTAGAATAAAAGGGCAGATAAAGCACTTTCTAGATAAGGTCAAGTTAAAGGAGTTCATCATCACCAAGCCCTTATTATATGAAATGTTAAAGGGACTTATCTAAGAAAAAGAAGATAAAAATATAAACAGTAAAATGACAACAAATTCACACCTATCAACAACTGAACCTAAAACAAAAATAAAGTAAGCAAACAACTAGAACAGGAACAGAATCACAGAAATGGAGATCACATGGAGGGTTATCAGTGGGTATGGGGTAGGGGAAGAATGGGAGAAAATATACAGGGAATAAGAAATATAAATAGTAGGTACAAAATATACAGGGGGAGGTTAAGAATAGTATAGGAAATGAAGAAGCCAAAGAACTTTTATGTACAACCCATGGACATGAACCAAGGGGGTGGGGAATCCTGGTGGGAGCAGGGGTGGAAGGTGGAAGGGAATAAAAGGGAGAAAAAAATGAGACAACTGTAATAGCATAATCAATAAAATATATTTAAAAATCCACAAATCAAATGCTTCCATTAAATACAGCTAGAATATGGATCAGCTTATTTGATAGCAGCAATTTAAAACTATTAGCTCATGTGAAGCTTGAGGTCACCTACATTAACCACATAGGTTTCACATCAGGTGCTACAAAAATGAGGTCTCTTCTATTAGAATCTTGCACAACCAAGTTTTTAAAATAATGAAGTGGTAGTTTTGAATTATCCTGACTCTGTTCCATCTTTTTGGTTTGGGCACGGCTTGTGGTGGCATTCTGAATTTCAATTCTGCTGTCTGACAATGGCTCCCCCAGCATGTGCCATCTGCACATCTGGTCAACCTGCTTTCCATGTTTTCTTCTGAACCACAGACAAAAGTTGAGGAAGTCACAGGGCAGAGTCCAAAGATTTTCATCTAAACGTCTACGCGCTCAGCAATAACATAGAATTATCCCTCTGGTTTTATATTTACATAACTCTCGGGAATGGTCATAAGACTTGTGAATACACTTCATATTGCTACTTTCCAATCCATACTTCATCATTTGTCATGGGAGACTTTACCAAACACTTCACCAAAATCCACAGTCATTCCCTGTCCCTCAAACCAGAACCCCTCTCAGAGACTAAACAGAAGCAATTTGTCCACAGATTCCTTGGAAAACCATTTTGCAGACTTGTGATCAAAGCATTTAAAAATTTTTAAATGTGTACCTTTCCGTTGTGGACCGCTCTCCTGGTTCTAGGAATTGTAACTCTCTACCCCCTATGGCTAAGGATGAGCAAGCGATGACCTCTGGAATGTGAGCTGCAGGAGACAAAGCTTGTCTCTGGTAGCAAATGCTGCCTCAGTTTTCTCCCTGCCCTCAAAGCATGGTCGATGTCCATGGTGGATATGACCCCTCAGAGAGGGGCAACCTAGGCCAGACACGTTCATTTGAGAGGCCTTCATGGAAGGACTCAGGGGGCTGCAACAAAGCAGCGGACTCTTGCCCTCCGGCTTTGAGATAGCCTGAGTCCCCACGTACTCTGGGAGAAGAGCTTCCTGGCTCTAATTCCCTTCAACCTGAATACCTGATGGGGAGGGGTGCAGTGTCTTGCTTTGCTAGAGTGTGCCCAGGGGAAAAATCTGGCATCATAAAGACTTCCTGAAAAACCTGTGTAATCTGCTCTGCTAAGAGTGCTTTCATTCATATGTTAAGGGTTTGAGCAGGAAACTGTAAAACTCTGTTCCTGACAGGCTCTGACTCATACTAAGCTCTCAGACTATCTATTGTTTGATCCTTGCCACCCTTTATTTCTGTGTATTACAACTCAATAAAAGCCCCTGGAAAAAGGGGCTTGAGGTGTTTTTCCCCTGAGAAACTGGCCACTGCTCAAGGCCTTTTTCCTCTGGGAAACTGGCTACCTCTCCTCCCCAGGAAAGTCGCACCCACACTTTTCTAGATAATTTCCCTGGAATATTTTTCTAAGTAGGGCAGAGGGAGGATTCTTAGACTCTATCATTTCTAGAATCTCTTCTTCTTGTTTTTTACCCAAATTAGGCTTTGAGAAACCATCTGGAAACCCTCTCAAGCCCTGAGTTATTCAATACCCTGTACTGTAACTCGTTTGAGCTTGAATCTTGTTTTCCCGTGAAGAAGAAGCAATCACATAGGTTAGGCAGCACATACCCTTTAATTTTTTGGCTTAAAAATTTTTGAAGTTTAGTTTCCTCCCTGGAGAAATCATGTTCTTCTCACTCAAGATATACTTATAAAATATTTTTATATGGACTTTAAGCTTTCCTGATAACACATCTCAGGCTTCCTCCAAAAGCATCCACACTACCCACTGTCATCCCTCCTAGGAGTCATGTTGCCTCCCTCCAGATTTATGTAGGTTGATCCATTTAAGTACAAATTTGTCAGAGAGCAACCCGCTGGGCTAGTCAATATTTAATATTCATTTGCCATGTTGAGGAAAGGGTAGTTTCCCCACATGGAATGTATATGCCAAGAAAGAAGTACTCAACTATTCTTCCCAAACCAGGAAAATTGCAGAAATTTTCATTTCTACTGCTATAGTCTCTACACACTCAAACAAAACAAAACAAAACAAAACAAAACAAAACAAAACAAAAAAAGAACTATTTTCCAAGCTGCGTAGATTCCTTTACAACCTTGTCAGACCACACGACCCACTTTGGTGTAAGACACATGACACAGCTGTTCAGGGGACCAGCACACAGTACAGTTCATGTGTCCCACCAGGGGAAAGAAAGAGAGACCCCGAGATCAAAACAGTTGTGTCCCCTGAGTCCTACAGGATGGACAACTCTGAAAGACTCACCTGACCAGGGCAGCTGATTCAGGATCTTCTGCAGTTCAGCTGCATTTATTTCTGGATTCTGGAGTGAAATCAGAGGGACAGGAGAACACCATCACTATGGGAGGCTCATTAGATGCTCAGGGGCCACCGATAGAGGGGGCTGAGATGTCCTCTCCAGCATCTGTTCCGCATGACACAGATGCCACTTCTAGGCACCATGAGTGACTCTGTTAGCTTGCACATTGGGAAGATGACTAGTCCTGTAATTAAATCTGCAACTTCATAGGAACTTTTATAATACTTTTTAACTGGGAGCCAAGTCCAGAGCCCCTCAGCAGGGCAGGACTCTTAAGAAACAGAGGAAAAGGGAGGAGTAGGTTCCAAACTGGGTTCTACAGAGATGCGTCAGAGGTTGAGCAAACAGCTTGCTTTAGATTTCACTGCTAATAAAATGCCCTCAGCCAAGGTTCTAGATTTTAATTTTAGATTCATCAGAAGCAACTCTTTACATTAAGATTTAACTTTAAAATATATTAAAATACGAGGATTGCAAATTTGAACTTATAAAACAAATCCATATTCATAATATACGATTTTTATCTGTTGCTCATATCTTGGGATTCTCTATGAGATTTCATTAGATAAAAGGACGGCAGTGGAAAATGTTTGGAGGGATGATGTGGAGGGAAACATTGATGAACAACACATGTACGATTCTGACATAGCCTCTCTGGCTACATTACACAGGGTACCGGGGGTGAATACGAGAGAAGATGGGAGGACAGGTGAGTTGTGAATGAAATCCAGAGTGCTACTAACATGAGGAACACACACTCTTCCACTTTTCATGAAATCACTCAGATGTCTGACCCCAACTTTCCAGTGCATTTCTTGCCCTATTTCCAAAGAGATCTAGCATCCTGCAGGTAGAGTGGACCCCAGAGCCCTACACCCACCCCACTGGCCTCCCAATCTGAGTCAGCCCAAGGAAAGAAGTCAAAGGGACCAGGTGTGCAGCCCTGGGCCCTCCACCCCACCCCTCTCTAGGGAGTCACCCAAGAGGTCTCTCTCCCTGGGTTTGTCATTACCATGCCCACCCCCACTCCCGATACTGATTTCTGACTCTGCTATAGTCCATTTTCTCCCACAGCTGATCCATATAGCTGCTGAGAACAGCTGTGCATTTACAGGAGCCTTCTGGAGACAGCAGCTCCAATGGTTTGTCTAAAAACTTGATGACTTGAATAGAACATGGTGGCAGTTTGGGGGATAAGTCACCTTAAATCACAATTTGTACACAGGGTCAGGCAGATGCAAACACACAGTCTGTGGAATTAAATGCTCCACTGTGTCCCCTGCCCTGCCCACCTCTGGCTACCATACCTCGTGGACTTACTCTTTCAAAGTATTCGAAGAACTTCTCATGCCCTTCCGCCTGGTCTACTATTTCCTATAGGAACAGACACAGAGAAAGACTTGTTCACCTGGAAATGTGAACTTCCCCCCACACACACACTTGTGTCTCATGGCTCCCAGGCTTCTAAAATCCAGAAGTCTGACCTTGAGCACTGTCTTAAATTGTCTACCACAACGTTCGCACAGTCCTCATGTCTCCATTTCTCACTGCCTTTGGGGAGTAGCAAACAGTGAAATGGGCACAAGGGACTCCAAGTCAAGAGAAGCAGAAGAGGGCAAAGGCATAACTCATGCACCTGGGGCTCACGGTCCTCGATGACAAGGACCCAACCAGAAGGGCAGTTCTCTTGGTGCAAAAAAACAGCAGAACCTGGGTAAACTGAGGGCACAATGGATATTGTGGTGTGTGTACCATGGAGCAGGATCTGCAGGATCTAGGGCCTTCTCTCCAACCCCCGAACTTGGGGGAAGAAACCCACCATCCTGGTTTTGTAAACAGTCCCAGCCATGTGGAATTCCACCTGACCACTTACCTTAAAGAAGACAGCTTTGGGACTGCTGCCAATTTCACTGAGGGAGAACAAAAGACAGAATTCCTTCTTGGAGACCCTCTTGGGAACCTTTGGCCAATTCCTGCCCCCTCTCCCAAGGAACTCTTCCAAGTTCCTTAGCAGATGCAGCATGTGGGCCTGTCCAGCTCTCACACCTCACCGCCCACTCCTCCTTGAAGCACAAGTTCAACCATACAGCACGGCACACCGCTTGTAACCTCCCACACACCTAGTGCTGTTTCTCATCTCACGCCTTTGCTCGTGCCAAGCCCAGCACACCCTTTGTTTCCCCCCACCCACTTCTGACTATTTCTCCTCATATTTTATGATGCAGCAGTCTGACAGGGCAGTGATGCTTGAGAGCAAGTCAAACTATCAATGGACAAAACAAAGAAAAAAACCCCCAGGGTTTTAAGTATTAAAGGGCTGTTATGTCAGAACAATCACAGGCCAAATACTAAGTGTAGCTGGAATGTATATGTATTGATTCACCTGTACATGCCAGCACTGTCTGAGCCTGCTGATCAGTGACAGACAGCCTCCCCTCATCTGAGTCACCCCTATGCATCCCTTAGGAATCACCACCTCCCAGAAGCCACCCCTGCTTTCCCCAGGACTGTGGAAGATTAGCCAATGCTCCCTCTTGATGCTTCTCTGACACCCTGTGCGTGTAAATGCTTCTACTGGGTGCAGTCTAACAAAAATGGCCCCTTGTGTGCCTGCGTCCTGCCCAGACCTTGATCTTCTGGAGGGCAAGGGCCATGCCTGTGCCTGTTCTGTAATACCCAGCAGTGTTCATTGGTCAGTACGAGGAGAGTGGGAGAAAGAGGGAAGGATGTTCTCTGTGCGGAGAGCTGCCCTGCTCTCCTGTTCTTCTGATTTCTGTCTGGACTGGCCACAGGGACCCCGACAGCTGCCTTCCCACCTCATACCCCTTATTGTCCCTGGACCAAGGGGACCCCAACCTTAGGGAGAGGCTGTGCCCTTACTGGAAGAAGTGCTTCTTGGAGAAGACTCTGAGGATGAACTCCGACTCCTGGCCAGCCTCTGATGTGCAGGGCACGATGAGGTACGTCCCTGGCTCCAGCCACAACTCCCGACTCACTTCTTTTTCTTGGAGAAATTCCTCGGGAAGGCTCAGGGGATGAGTTTTCAAGAAGAATTCATGGGGCAGTTTCCTCTGGTCATCAAATAACTATAGATGGCAGACAGAAGGGCACCAGTTGAGGTCAATACCCCGGGCTTTTGGCCAGGCCTGGGGCCCTTGGCCAGGAACCAGGAGTAAGGTAGCTTTTATTTGCCAAATCTACCCCACCCTAGTGGATGATGGGATAAATGAGTGGGGAGCGGAAGTTTAACACAGAGCATGTCAGGAGTGGACGCCTTTGCTGGAACCTGATGTGAGGCTGAGCAAACACTTGATCAAACCAATTTACCGTTACATTGAAAACAGCATCGTATACAAAATGATGTGAGGAATGTCACTGTGCCTACATTCTCCAAGTTAGGTCATCAGCCCAAAGTCACCCAGCTACTAAGTGTTCTGTCCAGGACTGGAATTCAGGGCAGCTGAGCTCCAGTGCCCACATTCTTCACATTTCCTGATTCTGCACTTTCAATGTTGAGTATAACATGGTTATGGTCATAGATACACAGGGACCACCAACCATCTCCCCACCAACATCACAACAGCTACATACAGATCAGCTGTTCACTCCATGTGACCTCAGGGAAAACAGCCTCATAAGGGGGAAAGAGGACTGCACAACAGCTCAGGAGACCTGAATCAGGGCTCTGGTTCTTATGTTGCCTGGGCATGTGTTTTATTTCATCTTATATTCATATACTCTCTTTCTGTCTTTCTCCCTTAAACCCTCCCTCCATCCCTCCCTCCTTTACTTTTCCCTCTTTCTCTATTTTTCTCTCTTGCTCCCTCTTCCCTTTGCCCTCACTCAGGGCTGTGGAGGAAGTGGAGGTCCACATGGAGAATTCTTTTTCAGTACATATATGGTTGTTAACAAGGATGCTACCCATCCACACAAAGACATATTTCATAGATTCCACCCAAGGCTAGGAAAATGAAATTTATCTCCTGATGACATATGCTTTATTTTTTTAATCAGGCAATGAGAACTAGGGGATCATCTGGTTGCCATCTGCCTTGGCTGCTAGGAATCTCAGAACTAAGTTTTATAACCAGCCACTTTAGGTGTCCTGGATTTAGTTTTTCTGGTAGAATCAACTGCTGATCCCTCATATATTATCCCTCATATATTTATTACTTTCTTTTCGTCATTTAAATCTTTAACTGGCTTGTAGTTTTGTTCTGTTTAGAAATAGTCCTATATAAATGACTTTTTCTTTTTAAATCAATAGGCAACTTGGGGATTACTCAAGTTCCCACAAGGAAAAAACCAACACCAACACCCAGTGCAAAATGTTTTTTTTAATAAAAATCCTTTTCTATTGCATAGTCCAATCTGCGAAGATTAAGTTTTTTACTCTTGTTTTCTTTGGGAGACGAAATAATAATTTCCACCCTGCAGAGCTTGAGATGCCTCCTGCCTTCTTAACTGATCCCTCTAGGCTGTCACTGCACTTGAAACACAGAGTTGTCATCCTCTGCCTGTGTGTCTGTCCTGTTTTCCAATCCTTTGTCCCCTGTCCCCAAGGCAGTGGGCTGCATGGTCTCCTCCAGTGTCATTTGTTATAGATCTGTTTTATTACAGGTTTCATAACACAGGCAAGGTTGTGATTTATCAGCCTTCCTACGCTCTGACGGTCACTGATATTAGCCCTAGGTATTTATGTAGGGATTTCATATATTCTAAGATTTTGTGGTTCTATACCAGGCTCAGAGACCTTCCTTTAGAGGCACAAGGATTCCTTGGGGCCTTCGGATTAAAAACAAAAACGAAAACAGCAGAAGCACTTAACTTCCACACACATAGGTAGTGACATTATTGTCAGACCGTCTCAGAGCTCCTTGTACAGTGCTGCAACCTGAACTTCACAATAGCTTGGCCTCACATGACATCACTCCAAACCAGGGCCAGCTGGTCAAGTGTGGAACTCACCTGGCTCATCTGAAAAACAGAAAAAGATAGATAGATAGAGAGAGAGAGAGAGAGAGAGACCTCATTAGTCAGTGAATACGCTCTTTCTCGCAAGCACAAACTCTAATGCAGGCTGATAAACAAGAGGACTCCATCTACCCAGAGGTCCCTTCCCCTCCCACAAGCTCTTCTGTTCCAGTCAGTGACATTTAAAACCATCGTCAGGAATTCTGGGAAAGGGCGAAGGAAGTCAACGTTGGCTTTTGCGGGGAGGAAAACGAAACTAGTATTGATTGTAAACTCTGTGCCAGGCACAGTGAGAAGCACTGCCACGTGGTCTTTCCTTCTGCTCTTTGCATAAATCTCATTGCCCCCATTTTACAGATGAAGACGCTATGTTCCATTCAAGGAGATGACTTGTTCTAGATCACACATCCCTAAGGGACAGAGCCGGGATTTGTACCCAGGTCTGTGGGCAGACAGAGAATAGGAAACAGGAAGAAAGGACAAGAGCTGGAGGCCCGAGTGTGGCTGTGCATCCCAGAGCCCCACTTACCCTGAAGAGGTAGAAGCCAATGGCTAGGGGAGGCTTCCGGTTGCGGTGTCTGTGCCTGGGCTTCTGGATCAGGGACACCAGCACACTGCAGGGCATCGGCAATGTCCTGCTCTCCTTTGGCCTCCAGACAGACAGCAGGAACTGTGGGTTCTTCCAAAATGTGTCTCGGGCTAAAAACAGCAAAATGAGACAGGTCCTTGGCTCCCCCAGCATGTTGCTCCCCAAACCTCAGAGAGGTGCACAGACCCAGGGGACCTGCCCTGGGACTCCCCCAAGAAGTTTATCAGGACAGAGAGTCAGGGCCTCCTCAGCCTCAGCTGATCCATCCTCCCATCTTACCTCCACCACCCAGGTTTTCTTACCTCCACCACCCAGACATGCAGACTGAGAGGTATTCTTGTTGCCAAAGGCCCTGTGCCCAGCACAGACTCTGTGTCCCTAAACACTGGCTGCCCAAGTGACTATGTTAACTACCTGAGGAGAACATACCCATGATCCCAGGGGATCTGCATTTTAAGGGAACCAAGCCTTAGCTCAAGGGCAGCTCCAGCTTTGGAGGAACACTCTGGTGGGACAGGGATGCCAGAGGTCAGGCGACCACAGCCCGCTGAGGTCATCATACCCTACAGGCCTTTCCTTCCAAAGGGATCTCTCACTACCTCCACTGTGGAGAAAGGGACACAGTCAACAAATCTTCCATTTTGAGAATTTAGATATGTTCGTCTCCTATAACTGAGGACTTCCTAGGTAAGGAGGGCCTGATACATATGATACAACTGCTATTTCCATCTGCCTGTGAAGGGGCGGTTGCTTCAACCTATCAATCATCTTGTACTAAGACCAGAACAAGATGTAACCTCCTGGTGCTATTTAGGACCAAAGGTGCCCCATCTTCCCCATGGACACAGCCCAGAGTCAGGGCAGTTAGCCTGGCCAGTAGTTCTCCCCGCTCAGCCCAATGCCCTTTGCAGGACACAAGCCACACACCATCCACAGTGGCTCTGCCCATATCCCCAGCCTTGCCTGGAAAAGCTGCCACTTTAGACCCGGGAGTCCCAGCTCCTATGCATGCACTCACTCACCTTGGTGCAACTTCATGCGGCCACCAGCTGTGGTCCCCTTCTCCCATCTCCCCTCCTGCATGGTGTATGACCACTTCTGGCCTACCTCGTGACTCAGCAGGCCTGGGGTCAGCTTACAGATGACCAGGAGCTTGAAGTGTGCTTTAAAATCCTTAAGCGTCATCCTGGAGAGGAAGAGGGGACAGTACCAAGATAAATGGGATGATGTCCAGTTAGCAGGACCAAAGAGGCGGCTGGAACAAAGCAGTGGGCATCCCAGAGCCAGGCCCCCATGCTGCCCCCCGTGTGCAGAGCTGAGCAGGCCTGTGAGAGTGGAGCTCGCTGGACCAGTGTGAGGGGCCACCACAGGTTGTTGGAGCTACCAACAAACCCCTTCCTGTGGCTTCCTGGTCTGCCGGTCCCACTGATAAAGTTAAATTGAGGCATTTATAACCAGTCAATTGATTTCTAGGTGTTCAGTAATCAGTTCTCACTCATTAATTGATAAAAATCTTCACTTGTACTTGCTAACTTTGTGATCAAGGCATGCTCCTGGGGCTGTCTGGTGCTTAGTTTACTTATCTTAATGTGGAAATAATGATATTTGCAGGGATCTTGAGTTTGGTGACTACTTCAAAAGAGAGAGGACTGCAGCCATCTGGAAAGGATGGGTAATGGAGGAGAGGGATCACGGGAACAGGTGGAAGTTAATAGCGAGGATGAAAAGCAAAGGGAAAGGGAAACAGCGGGTCTCAGGTCAGACACCCAGAAGCAGCACTGGCTCAGGGCATCTGGGTGACCTTTCATAATAAGAGTAAGTGGCTTTGGAGTCAGTGGGAATAGTACTATTCTGCGGTGGAGAGCACAGGTGAGGTGGCTTTTAGCTTGGCAAGACCTTGCAGTTCCTCCTTTCCTCATCTCCTTTTTAGGCCAGGAGAGTCACCGGATGGAGTGTACTGAGTGACATAAGAGCAGAGTGGGCCTCAGGAGGAGGTGGCCACCCCACACTCTGCTTGGAGCACCTGCCGAGCCCCATGCCAGTGGCCACTGCTCTTGTCAGAGACTGTGATTGTCCCTTTGCAGGGGCTGTTTGCCCTGCCAGACCGTGAGCCCCTAAAGGATCTTGTTGATCATTGCAAAAGAGATGCCAGGCACATGGGGGGCACCCCATAAATATTTGCTGGATGGATGAGCAAATATAAGCCAGGGCATTTAGTCCCGGGTCCTTGAGTCAAATACCAAAATTCTCCATCATTATCTTTTCTCCACAGCATAATCTTCTCCTTGGGGCTCAGTAGGTCCCACGTACTTGAGCTGAAAACAGAAAAGAAACATTTTCATGGGGGAGTGAAAGGATTGTGGAGGATGTGTGATAAATTCTCCAGTAAATGCTCTACAGCATTGGTATTTATTCTCTTCATGCTGCCTTTGCAGACAACCAAATCTCACATTCTGTATTATAAAAGCAACATGTAACATTAATTCATCATTCATTGTGAGCCAAAATCTGGGCTAGGCTTTTGATGGGCTCCATTTCAGGCGAGAATAACAACCTTGCAAGGTAGGGATTTTTGTTGCCATTTTAGAGATTAGGAAACTGAGGTTAAAAGAGATTGTCACTTGCTTGAAACCATAAAGCTATGAAACGTCAGAGCCAGCATTTGAATCTATGTTGGAATTACTTATTGTCAAAGGCCATCACTTTGGCCTATTATTTCTGGCCACGAAGGATAAGGCTTTCCTGTATCACTTCCACACTATAAGCAACTACAGCTGGGACCAAATATAAGAAACAACTGCTTTCACACATTAGAGAGCAGGCAGCACAGGATTGAGACCCCAAGAGGAGGGGAGCAAATGAGGCGAGACCTAACATCGCCAGGACTCCTGACTGAAACTAATTCCCTGGGCACTGATGCAGAAAAGTGGAACCCAGAAAGAACCTCGAGGTCCTGCTGAGTGTAAGAGACAGAGACCTGTGTTCGAGGAGGCCTCGACAGCTAGACCTGGCCAGGGAAAGTGCCTGAGAGCAGGAGGCTGCATAAAGAAGGAGCTCCAGAGAACTTCATAGGGGCTCCCTTGAGTCTCTGGCTGAAATCAAACTGGTGCATACATAAAGTAAAATCCCGCAAGAATGAACTATACACAGAAGAATTTCTAGAGGTGATGCAGGGCTGGGAATCATTTGAATTACCTGCCAGCCAGAGTTGAAAGACTTTATTGACCCCCTGAGGTCCTTAGTAGAGACCCCAAGGGGTCAACACCTTCATAGTGGGGTCAAATTATTCCTGAAATAAAGGTTTCTCTAGTTCTGCCTTAAAAGTGCTTTAAAACAAAACTTCAAAGTATCAGAATTATCCCTAATTTAACTACCTGCCAGGAAAAAAAAAAAGCCCAACATTCTCTAAAGAAATGCAACAAAAAGACTTCTGCCAAGATGGAGGCATAGGTGGAGACGCTGTGCTTTCCCACACAACCAAGTTTAGAGACAACAAAATATTAGCACCAGAAAACACAGCCAGAACACAGAAAATTGAACTTTTCGGAAGTCCAATAACAATGATTTTCTTCAGCCTGACCGGTAAGAGGGGCGAAACCAGCAGCTGGCGGAGTGGGGTTGCACAGGAAAACTCGGTCAGACGGACTCAGGTGCGCGGTTCCCAGGCGTGGGGTGGCAAAGGGCCGACCCAGTGAGCGACCTAGTGAGCGCGACCCAGCGAGTGACCAGCAGATCCGGCGAGGGTGAAGGGTGGCGGGTTGACTGTGCTGGAGCATTCCTGCACAGATAGACTAGCAAGGGAGTGGGCAGTGAGACGGGACCCAGCGGGTCGCAGCGGCGGGAGGCTGCAGAGACCGCCGCCATTTCCCGGCTCTGACCCCGCCCCCACATACAGCGTCATAACCCAGCGACCCGGCCCTGGAAGCCCCGCCCCACCCCTAAGGCTCCGCTCCTCATACGTAATGGGTGCAAACAGACAAAAAATGGCTCTAGAAGATCTCAAAGCCCCAGAGTCCATAAATCTAAGCGACAAAGAAATAGCGAAACTTTCAGATGCACAGTTCAAAACACTGGTGATCAGGATGCTCACAGAACTGGTTGATTTTAGTCACAAATTAGAGGAACATATGAAGGCTAAACTAATTGAAATGAAGGGAATTGCACAGGAAACCAATAGTGATGAAAAGGAAACTGGGACTCAAATCAAGGGAGTGAACCAGAAGGAAGAAAAAAATGGCCAAACAGGAAAATATAAAGAAATAAGAATTCAAAAAAATGAGGAGAGACTTAGGAACCTTCAGGACATCTTTAAATGATCCAACATCCGAATTATAGGGGTGCCAGAAGGGGGAAAGGAACAGCCACCAGTGGAAAACTTATGTGAACAAATAATAAAGGAGAATTTCCCCAATTTGGCAAAGGAAATAGACTTCCAGGAAATCCAGGAAGCTCAGAGAGTCCCAAAGAAGTTGGACCCAAGAAGGAACACACCAAGGCACATCATCATTACATTAGCCAAGATAAAAATGAAGGAGAGAATCCTAGAAGCAGCAAGAGCTAAGGGGACAGTCACCTACAAAGGAGTTCCCATCAGACTGTCAGCGGATTTCTCAAAAGAGACCTTACAGGCAAGAAGGGGCTGAAAAGAGGTATTCCAAGTCATGAAATCCAAAGACCTACAACCAAGATTGCTCTATCCAGCAAAACTTTCATTTAGAATGGAAGGACAGATAAAGTACTTCTCAGATAAGATCAAATTCAAGGAGTTCATCATCACCAAGCCCTTATTATATGAAATGTTAAAGGGACTTATCTAAGAAAAAGAAGATAAAAATATGAATAGTGAAAGGACAACAAACTCACAGTTATTAACAACCACATCTAAAACAAAAGCAAGCTAAAAGGACAGCTAGATCAGGAGCAGAACCATAGAAATGAAGATCTCAAGGAGGGTTAGCAACAGGGGAGTGGGAGGAGAAGGGGGGAGAAGGTACAGAAAATAAGTAACATAGACGGTAGGTAGAAAATAGATAGGGGGAGGGAAAGAATAGTATGGGAAATATAGAATCCAAAGAACTTGAGACACATGGTCATAAACTAAAGGGGGGAATGGTAAGGGTTGGGGGGTACAGGGTGTAGGGAAATGAAGGGGGGGAATAGAACAACCGTAATGGAATAATCAATAAAAATTTTTTAAAAAAAGAAATGCAACAAAATTCAGCACTCAGAAACCTAAATTTGTAATGTCTAGCATCCAATAAAAATTTACTAGGCATACAAACATGTAGAAAATGAGACCCATTATCAGAAATAGAAAGAGTTAGGAGGAATAGACCTAGAAATAAGAGAGATGAAGGAATTAGCAAATTAGGACATTTACACAGCTATTATCAACCCATTCAATATTCTCAAGGTTATAAAAAGAACTGTTGACATAATGAAGAGAGAAGTAGAAGATATTCTCAAATAGAATCTTCTAGAATTAGGAAATCTCTAGAATTAGGACTCTCCAAAATAAAAATATACACTGGATGACATTAACAGAAGATTAGACTCTATGGAATAAAAGCCTATCATTTTATTTAATCCTTACCAGATCTCTGTCTCAGAAAAATAAAAAACCTATCCCAAGGTCACACAACTAACAAAACAAATTTAATTAATCACTTATCTCTAATGTAAATACTTGTTCTTCTATGAAACAAACTAAAACCAACATCATGACGATATATTTTGGTAACACTATAAAACTGATATATATCTTGCCCTGGCTGGTGCAGCTCAGTGGATTGAGCTGCACCAGCAAACCAAAAGGTCTGCAAACCCAGAGGGTCACTGGTTTGATTCCCAGTTAGGGCACATGCTGGATTGCAGGCCAGGTCCCCAGTGAGGAGCACTTGAGGGACAACCACACACTGATGTTTCTCTCCCTCTCTTTCTCTTTCCCTCTCTCTAAAAATAAGTAAGTAAAATATTTCAAAAAATAAAGTTAATATATATCTTTGTATGCTGTTTTTTACATAGACTGAGTTCTGCTGACAATTCTTTTTATTCATGTATCACACATCAAGCACGGTACATCCTATGAGAAGTGGAATACAACTTATTTTTCTGAGCCCTCATTTCTTCATCTATAAAAATGAGTAAGTGATAATGAGTGCGTGGACGTGTTTTCATACTTTAAAGTGCTATGCAGAGGCCAATATTATAACTCTTCATGCAAGAGGTGAAGGGCTTTGCCACTGGTCTCCCTCTCCACCTGTGCCCTCCAGCCAGTCTGTAATCCGTCAAGCCCACATCCGGTTCAAGTTGTCTTTGGGCAGAAACAACCCAAGGCCACTAAACAAAACCAGAATTGGGGGCCAATGGGATCTGTCTACCTTTGACTCAACAAGCCCCAGAGGGCCCATGCCAGGGAGGGATCCTGGACTAGACAGGAAAGCCCTTGGCTGATCCTGCTCTGAGACCTGAAGTAACTCACCTGGTCTAAGCATCAGTCCCTTCATCTGCAAAACAGGCATAAAACTACCTACATTATGATTGCATTATTCGGAGGATTCAATGAGATGACAATCCAAAGGACTTAGCACAGTACTGGCAAGCTCTTCACATTTGACTCTAATTACTATAATGAACAAGAAAACAATCTATACGTCATAGACCACTTTATAAATGTGAGAGACTGTCAGACCCTGAAAATGTTCCTGACGTAGCCTGAGACCAAGGGAAGAACACCCGGAATCTGTGTGCAGAGAGCAATCTCCTTGGCAGGCTTCGCCTGCCCCTTCCTCACCCAGCCAGTCTCAGAAGCTCACCTGTCACTCCAGTCTCCTCTCCACTCCACCTTCCCCCAGGGGTTCCGCAGCTTGACTAGATACTCAGGCTTGCGTTTGCAGGTCACCTGCACAGATGAGAAGCAATTTAGGTGGCTGGGCTGGGTTCCAACTGCATATGTTAGATACCTGGGTGAGATTCATGCCTGCAGATGAGACTAAAATGCAAGATCAAAGGCCCTGAGAGCTGGCAGAGGAGGAAACAGCTCTGCTACTAACAAGCTATGAGACGTAAGGCAAGTTACTTAACCTCTCCGTGACTATTTTCTGATACATAAAATGAAGCTAATAGTCACATCTGCCACAGCGGATTGAATGATGGACCCCAGAAGATATGTCTACCCAGAACCTGTCAATGGGATCTGATTTGTAAAAAGGGTCTTTGCAGGTGTAATGAAGAATTTTGATATGAAATCATCCTGGATTCAGGTGGGTCCAATGACAAGAGAAAAGAAGGGAAGAAGACACAGAGGAAAAGGGAATGTGAAGTTGGAAGCAAAGATTGGAGCTATGCTTCCCAAGCAAAGAACTGCTGGAGGCCACTGGTCACTGTAAGGCAAGGAAGAATTCCCCCCTAGAGCCTTTGGAGGGGGTGAGAACCTAACGACGTCTTTTTTTTTTCAATCCTCACCAGAGGACATGCTTATCGATTTTAGAAAGAGGGAAAGGGAGGGACAGAGAGAGGGAAAGCAACGTTGATATGAGAGAGAAACATCTATCAGTTGCCTCCCGTATGCACCCTCACCAGAGACTGAACTTGAAACCTTGGCATGTGACCTGACTGGGGATTGAACTCACAACCTTTCGGTTTATGGAACAATGTTCCAACCAGGGCACTGATAACATTTTTATTTCAGACTCTGGAATTTAGAGCTGTGACAAAAACAAATTTCTATTATTATGGCAGCCCAAGGACACTCATACACCTACTCACGGGGGTGTTGTAAGGACTGAGTTAATAATGTTTGTGAAGCAGTTACGACAGTATTTGGCACATAGTGTTAGACTTTGTCAAATACTGTTAAATAAATATAGAACAAAACATTAAAAAATATAAATTTTTCTAAATAAGTGTGAAAATAAATGTAAAGTTCTTGTTACCCACACAAAAATGATTCATGGATATCTGGGAGGAGGAAGAATTCAGGTATGAGTTGAGTTCAAAAAAATTTGAAGCAGAATTAAAGGGAATCAGAGGACTTTTGGCAAGTAAAGCTTCTTAAATGTCAGAGGTTCTTTGAGATTGACCCTACTGATTTCTTTTCTCCACATTCTGCACATGCTGTTCCTTTAGCTAGGAATGCCCTTTTCTCCTCATACAAATCTACCACCTTTCAGTGCCCAGATCAATGTGACCGCCTCTACAAAGCCTTTTCTGGCTTCCCTCCAACCCAACCAGGTGAATGTCTTCCCTCCAACTTCTGAACCCCTCACACCTTCTTCTCCCAGTTTCTACTTTCTTTTTTATCATTTTCAGATATGGATTTTCTCCATACTTGACTGGGAGCTCTCTGTAGGTGGGGTCCCTGTCTGATTCCTCTTTCTCTCAATGCTTAGTAGAGCTCGAAAGGTAAATAGCAATGGAAGGAAACTGGGAAACCTGACAAGGCACAAGTGAGGAAGAAGCAGCAATTTGGGAGGGAAGAGCCAGCTATAAAGGCTGTTCTGAGCAGCCCGGGAGAAAGCGAAACTTGAGGAAGACTGTGATGCACAGTGGGGAGAGATGGCCAATTGGCTGGAGCTTCCCCATGGAAAGAGAGGTTGGGATGATACAATGATGGTGGCAAAGGCTGGACCCCCCATTTCACCCCAGAAAAGAGGTCCAGAGGTATGGGGAGTCCCACCAGCTTTGGCAGGCCTTGGAGGACCCCCAGACTAGACACAGATAGATTCACCAAGAACACCCCCAGGCTTTGGTAAAAAGCCCCAGGAGAGAAGCAGAGGCTGAAAGGAAATAGCGGGGGAAGGTTCCACCCACCTTCCAGATTCTTATGAGAGTGTAGGCATGGCCGTCCACCAATCCGTTCTCCAGCACCCTCTCGCTCTGTACAGACAAGAGAGCACCTGTCAGCCTTGCTGGCTACGGATTATCCAGGAGTCATGGGGGCCTGGTTGGCTGATGCAGGAGTTACGAGGCGGGTGGAAGAGACCCACACTGTATTGTGTCGCCTTACGGTTTTCATAGCTCTTCAGTACCCAGAGTCTCATCTGAGCCTTTATGTCAGGGTGGCGCTCTGCAGTGATTCTAAACATTCTGCAGAGGACAAACCCAGATTCAGAGCCACTAAGTGGATGTGTAAGGTGACACAGTGGTCATTAGTGGAGGCTCAGCTGAACTCAAGGCTCCCTATTCCAGTTCCACGTTCTTGGCTGTTATTAAAATTAGACAGCAAGGACCAGCTGAGCTATAAAACACCTTGCATGTGGTGGACCCTTAACTGTCAGCTCCTTTCTCTGCACATTCCCTTCTCCTCTGCTCTGAGGCTGCTCTGGCTGAACATAGGACTGTAGGTACAAGGGTTTGTGGGAGTCTTGGGGCTCACGCTGAGGTGACAACAGTGACTGGTAGACGAAGAGAATGGCAGCAGAGAAGAAGTATATCCACACAGTGCACAGCCCAATCTCACCCCTAAGTGGGTCTGGCAGCCAATAAGAGTTTTGCTATAGGTGGCTCGGGTTAGGATGTCCCAGAGGTTTCCAGGGGCTTCTGCCAGGTTGATGGTGATTGTCACCCCACCAGTGAAGTCCAAGAAGGCATCAGACACCTGTCCACGCTGCAAGTCTTCATAGGAGCCACAGAGCCTGCCCAGGGGATAAGTAAACACAAGAAGAGAAGGAAAGTGCCATTTAACTGCAGCCTCGGATGATCTGAAGGAGCCTTGCTTCATTATTCCCTGGGAATGTGTCTGCCACCCCTTCCTCCCAACCTAGTGCTCAGAGTTCTTATCCCTGTTAACAACTGTGTCCATTAGGGAAGGCAGAATTTCTGAAATCTTGTTTAGATGGGGTGACCACTACACATAAGTCTCTGGTAATGTCCATTGTATATTCACTGAGTCATGCCTCAGTATCTCATTTCATAAACTTTACCTGCCCCCTCTTGTCCTCCCTCAACACTGATGGTGAGACAGAGACAGGGTTGGGGGGAGGGAAGGGAAGAGAAAAAATTTCTCATAGTTGTCTTACTTTGCATAAGCTTTTTCCAGAAGAGCTCCCCAGAACAAGTTCTTGTAGGTGGAAGAGACAAAGACCAGCTGACCAGCTTCATCCACGGGCAGTAGGTCATCTATCACCACAGGAACCCACTTCCCAAAGTGCCAGAACTAGAAGGAGAGAGTGCCCACTGGTGAGTGAAGATTATGGTGGAAAATGGTCAGCCAAGGAGGCAAAGAGATGACTCTTCCAAGAACCTTCTTTCCCATACCCCCAACCCAAACTGGGCACTAGGAGGACACTCACCCAGAACTGGAAGATGCCAGCATAATTCTTGGTGAAACTCTGATTCAGGGGAACAACCCGGCTCAGGATGTCCTGGTGCAAAGTCAGCGCTTGCAAAGCAGCCAAGAACCAGCAGTCACCTAAGCCAGACAGCACACAGTACCTGCGTGGATGTCCTGCACATGCACACACATTCTCCAGGTATCTGCATGGATTTACTGAGGATTTATTGCATGCAAGAAGTGCCTGATATCAACTGCTATTCTTTCTGGGCTTGTAGCCTACTTCAGGAGAAGGGAATTACATACTAGAGAGGAAAAGAGTGGTTGAGTAAAGTGTGATGCAGGGAGGTACATTGGCTGGGATCTATACTTGAAGATAAGAATTAAGCCATATTCCTGCACCAGCTTTTAGCTCCCCAAATGCTCCATCCTTAGGAACTTGGACCCAAACACAACCACCCTTTTCTAATTCCCATCTCTGTAACTGATTCTTGTTCTGGGAAAGCCTTGACCCTTTGGACTCCACTTCCCTGTCTGTAAAATCGATATTACTGCACATGTGCCTCCCTTCCCCTAAGCAAGGCTTGTTTCTATTACTCTAAAAAGAAAGTTGGGTTGAGAAGAGGCCTTCTTGGATTCTATTCTGGGGCATCTAGTGACAGGCATGCCAAGGAGGTCTCATTACAGGGACTAAATAGAGTGAACATTCTCCCAAGATAAGACTTAGACCTGTCAACTGATGATGAAGATTTTCATTAGGCAAGGTTTGATACTCCCATGCATCCAGACAGGACCAGTTGTTATCCTGTTCCCAACAAAGGACATGTCTAGTGTTCAGGTGGCCATTTCCCAGTTGCAATCTCTCAGTTCCCCTCTTTCCAACCACTGTCTTCTTGGGCCGAGCCACGCTCACAGCTGCCAGGTGTGTGTCTCAGGGGCTGTGCAGACTTACCTACCAATCCCTGGCACAGATCCAGCCTTCGGGCGTTGGCAGAATAGAATTGGGGGTTGATGTGCAGTTCCTGCAGGGACAGACAGAATTGTCCCTCTGACTAAGAAGAAGCTCCATTGGGCCTCACACTCATGGACTTAGGGAAACATAGATATACAATATATATATATACACACACATATATATACACATATATATGTATATGTAGAAGTAGACATAGATGTAGATGCAGATGTAGATTAGATGTAGATGTAGAAGTAGATACAGATGTTGATGCAGATACAGATGCAGATTAGATGTAGAAGTAGATACAGATGTAGATGCAGATATAGATTAGATATAAATTAGATGTAGATGTAGAAGTAGATACAGATGTAGATGCAGATTAGATGTAGATGCAGATGCAGGTGAAGAATCAGGGCTGTCCCAGAAAATCTGGCAAGCAGATTCTGTCCATTCTATTTCTCATCCCTCCTTAAAGCTCATATAAGTCAAGTCCTAGAGAATTCTATGTAGACACCAAGAAATGATGCTTATACCAAAAAATAACTGTTTGGGGGTTCCTGTTAAAAGTAGAAGTACCTTTTAAAGGGGGCATTCTCAGTTTTCCCAGAGACCTTCTCATTCTTACTCTCCCCCTACTCCTCCTTCCTGCCCCTAACCCCAGTGCAATGGCCTGACTTTCTGTGCTGAGACGTGGGCTGGGCTGGGCTGGTACACAGGGAAAGGGGCTGTCCTCTGTTCCACGGCCTGCACCACACCCCTCAGTCTCCTCATGGGCACAGTTCAGTCCAGGTCAGGTGTGTGAAAACTGTGTCAGCAGCTTCCAGGGTTTCCTGGAAGAAGTAAAATCTCAACAGCCCTCTAGTTCAGGAGGCACACTTGGGAATTTACACATAGTAGGGACTTAACAAGTCTGTCTTTGATGGTGACAGCTGATGAGGGAACACAAAGGGGAGAATCTGCAGCATGGGTTGACCTGACTGTGTTCTAGAATCTTGCATGTAAATCGAGTTTGGGGGAGATGAATTGCTTTTGAACACATTGAAGAGTTGCCTTTGAAAGGAATTGTTGATGCATGTGTAAAGAATACCTGTGTACAGTGATGAACAGCATCTTAATTTGTGAGTTTCCTGGGCCTGATTTGGGGGGAGTGGGGTGTGAAATGTTAAAATGTGTCCCTCTGGCAGATGGCATTGGCTGTGACTCAGGAGGCTTGCCATTTCTGATGAAGCTCAGTGGTACCTTAATGTATTTTTGGCTGCAGCTGCTCCATATTTCAGGCCTGGGGGAGGAGCTACATCTCAGACCCCTTCCAGGATCACCCCTGGTTCTTCCTGGAAAATGGGGATGTGGGGATTCACCCAGTTTCCTTCTCACGGGGACCAATGAGAGTAAGACTGGATATCCAAAAGCCCTGAGCCCTCAGAAGGAAGGTCTGGCTCGACACACTTTGTGCGTGTGGGTCAGAAGCTCCCTTCCCAGCCCCTTACCGGTGGCCTCTTCCACTGCAGGCGGGGTGGCAGTTTCTGTAGCAGGGGCCCTCTGCCGATGGAGCTCAGGGTGGCTGGGAAGCTGCTGTCTTCAAAGAGGCAGCCATTTCTCAGGCACTTTTCCTGCAGAGCCTCATAGTCCTGCTTGGGGAGCTGTGAAGGACCCCCCATTGGGTCCTTCTCCCCTCGGCCTCGCCAAGGTGGCCACAGAGACATAGCAAGAAGTGGATAACAAGCTTTCTGGACGGTCTCTGTTGCTCCTGAAAGGGAAGGCGGATGTTCAGTTTTACTTCCTTTCTGCTAATGCTTTGGCATTTCCCATAGAGAGGAGGAGGGAGACAGAGAGGATGTAAGAAAGAGAAATTAGCCTGCGAAAAAGAAATAAGTTGTATATGCACTAGAAGCTGCCCGAGAACATGTCTGTACAAAGACGTACTCCTGTACATTGTAGGGGTGATCCGAGGCTCCTCCCTGTCTGTCAAGGTCTTGCCTATCCCCCAAAGTCCCCTGGAGCCCCTCCTCTAGGGAGCCTTCCTTGAATGCCCGGCCTTCACTGAGTTCCCCTCATCCTAACTGTTGACTCACCATTTACCCCCTAGAATACTCTACTACTTATCACTGGTGAAGGACCTGTATGCTTTTATTTCCAATTCGTCGCAGAAATTTAATGAGCTAATAGAAAAATGAAATTTAAAGATAATATACAAAATACAAGCCCTCTTTTTTTTTAAAGTCAGATTTCAACAGAAGTAAAACTATTGGTTCATTGCTATAAAACATTCCAAACACTTACCCTTAGTTTTGTACATAGCTCATCAGCACTGCTAGTGGGCAGCTTGTGGAACGGCCCTGTCCTCCGACCCCGTGTGGGCTCTACGCTGAGTCACTTACTAAAAGCTACTCCGTCTGATACGGGGTGTTTATCCCCCTGGGGTTAATACTGGCAGAATGCTGTGTCTCACACTTTGACTTCTCTCTGACCTGATGACATCTGACTCCAGCGACTCTTAGTCGTCACAGGCGCAAACGCACTTCCTGGGGGAAGACCCAGCACTCTCCCAACCTGGTCACGGGGATTCAGAGGCTCTTACTCAGGTCTGTGTTTTTCCCTGAGGTTTTCTTCCTGATAAAGATTATCAGGCAAAGCTTCCTCCAGCCTACCCCTGTTTCCTTGTCAACAAGTTTCTTCTACCCCATTTACATTTGTAAGCCAATGCGAGGTCTCCTAAGAGCAAGATTTTCTCTTTTGGCCCTTCAAGCCTGAGCAGCAGCAGTCATGTACCACTTGTGACTTGACATGGGATAGAAGGTCCCTCGGCTTCAGAACCTGACCCAGGCTCATGCCCTTCTTACCAAGTGCTGGGTTGCACTTGGATTCTTCTCTGAACCAAAAACCACTGCATGATATTTAATGACAAGACTTGGTGCCTCCTGGGACTCAAAGGAGCAAACGCCCGTTGTAAGATCACATTTCAGAATGAGGCCACACGCACAAGTATTATCCTCTTTTTATAAGTATTCCCAAGTCCCCTTAAAGAGGGTCTAGACCCAGATGTGGGCGGTTGTCAGTTCCAGCAAGTCCTCTGTATATTACAAGTGGGGGGTTGAAATGAGCTTGCTCCCAGATTGCCACAGCTCTCTGCAAAGGGCCAAAGGGCTCTCGGTCAAATCTGGAAATTCATTTTAACCGTTATGTGTGAGCCGTGTTGGAGCTGGCCCATAAAAGAAGACTATGTAAATAAATAGGCAAAGCTACCTGGAACACCAGACACTAGAGCGTGCAGCCAAAAGTCATGCTTCTGGTGCCTGAGAGTTCCCTCCTGGGCCTCCAGAGGGTGCGAAGGCTCCTCGGTCATGTTCTTCATGTGGGGATTCATTTGCACTCAGCAAAGGCAGGGCAGAGCCTCAGTCTTCACTTTTTCACATACTGACTTTGCTTGCCTTGTCTACAATGTTAGAAGCTAGGGAGAGCTTCCTGACAGTGAGATATGAGGAGTCTACCTGGGACCCCTGATCCAGAGGAAGGTTTCGAGTCTAACTAGCTGGGGAACATTGAGAAGCATCGCCAGGCAAGACACATGAGCCTGTTCTGTGCTTTGAGTCCCTGCCCCGATGCTCAGTTCAGTCAGATATTTACCAAGCACCTGCTATGTGCTAGACACTGGGTCCGTGCTGGAAGCCTGGTCCTTAGTCCACCTAATAAGGGTAGAGTGGGGGCTCTGGAAAGGAAACAAAAATGTAAGAATCATGTCCCTGCTACAGGTGCTGTGAACCTGTAGCATCCTCCTAGGGATGATTGATTTCCAGGGAACTCTGGCCTCTTGCCACAAACCACAGAGTCGTCCAAGGTAAAATTGGAATAGAAACCTGGGCTTCTAGCACAATGGCACTGTCTGTATGATAAAAAGAATGAGACTGAAAAAGTGATCAATTCCCTGTTCTTGACAGTTGGAACAAAAGAGCAAGACTAACTATGGGCCCTGCCTGATTGGTCTTGGGTAGGGACCGTGCTTCTTCTGTGTAATAGCCAGTGTGTAGTGGTCATGGAGCGCTACATTTACAATCGGAAGACCCGCGAAGTGGCCATGCTGCCACCTCTTACCCATGTGGCTGTGGGCAAACCCCTTACCCTCTCTGAGCTGGTTTTCTTACCCATAAAATGGAGATAACATATACTATGTCTATTCTTAGGACTCAGAAGAGATTAACCATGTGAAGTGACTTGAGAAAACTCTGAAGTGGGGTTGACAAACTATGGTCCCTGGGCCAAATCTGGCTCACTGCTGGATTTCATTAATAAAATTATATTGAAATACAGCCATAGTTACCTGTTCATGAATGGCTGCTTTTGCAACATACAACAGCAGAGTTGGGCCCTTACAACAGAAATTATTGCCTATAAGCCTAAATATTGATTGCCTGCCTTTTACACACAAGTTTGCTTAAAGCACTGCCTAACTTGGGTGGATTGCCGTTGCACAGTGCTAGGCACAGGGGTAAGCTCCAAGTAGGAACATGGTTAATTGCATCCATCACTAGGAAGTTTTCTTAATGTAGCAGAACTTTATCTCTAATTGATGTACTGATTTTTTGCTTTTGCAGACACTATGTTTGCAGGTTACTGTCATGTCTCAAAGTCTTAAAGATGTGGCCTGCCATTTCTCTCTGCTGAAGTCTGTTTTTCAGACGTGATGACAGCGGACAGTCCAGAACAGCTGTCGGGTGGTTTCGTGGCTGCCGACTACAAATAGGAACCCAATCTCTAAGTACAGACCAGGCCCTGTTCATAAAAGAGGAAATGACTTTGCCCAGTGAGTGCTTTAAAAGGATCTTGAAAGTTTTACTATTTAAATATTTGTCTACATTTAGATTTAGTTTTTAACAGGAGACCCAGAGAATTCATCTTCACGTCTAGAGCAATGTCTGCCTTTCAGGAAACAATAAAGAATGTGGCCTGACTATGAGCTTTTCAGAACAAGAACAAACAAACACAATAAATGTTTGCTGACTGACTGACTGAGCAAATAAACAGATGGGTGTTTCTTCATTTGTGAAACATGAAGAATGATAAACGCTGTCCCCCCTCCCTGAGCCCCATCCCCATTCCTCCTGACTTGAAGCTAAAGTGTGATAAAGACACGAACTGTCAATTATTTAGCTGTTCCCCTGTTGTTCTGATTACATCCCTGAGAACCGACTTAGGTTAAGCCTTGCATTCAGAGGCCTTCTTAACAGCTTCCCTCTGATCCAGACTTGTTTGGGAGCTCCTTTCTGGAGCAAGACGTTCTGGGGTCCCAGGTTAAAGGACCCTAAGAAACACAGTAAAATCAAAGTCAGTCTTCAAGGAAGGAGTCTCCAAAGGGAGCATGCACCTTGGGAGTAGACTGGGAAGAGAAGAGGCAGGAAGCCCCCTGCCTTAGCTGGTGATGCTGGGGGATCCTCTGGGCTGGTCGCACACCTATGTGGGGATATAAGAACGTGGCTGGCAGAGCTCTCTACCCACTCTGAACTGCCCCGTCTTCCATCTGACTCCATGACACATGGCACAGCCACAAACCTCTGTAGTACAGACAGCCTACCACTCCGAGAATGGGAGTGTGCACCTTGAGTTACCATGTAGTGGAGACAGCTTTCATTGGGTTTAGGAACATTCACTGGGCCTGCATGGAAGCCAGACCCTGATGTCACTCCTAGAAGATAAGCCTAATGTCAGGCTAGAGGGAACTTGGAGGTCACTGTGGTCAGTGTCCCTGCGCATAGGTAAGGCCTCTGAGCAGTGCCTGTGGGCTCTTGGCCAGCTCTGCAGAACCAGGGCAAGCCCTGGGCATCTCTTTAGCACATCCTCTTCTTTTCTTTCTTAGCATCTCCTCAAGCAGAACCGCGTGGGGTCTCTCTGTTCCCCTCAAGCCTGCTTCTGTTCTTACAGTTCCCACCCGGGAGACACGAGCACCCTAGTATTAGGTCATTTCCTACCTTTATTTCTCTACCACCACCTTCCATACATTTAAAGAACCAACCCTTTTGATTTTTCTCCTTTCCAGAATATTTCAAAACATGCTTGAATAGGAAAGAGTCTTAAAACAGAATGAATCCGTTCCTTTTGTTTTTCAGGAGTATTTGAATCTTAAAGGGTCAGATGATGAGCTGCATTACCCGTCAGACTAAGGCAGCTTTTCCTCCTCCTGTTCCTGAATTTCCTGTCTGACTAGCCAGGTCACATCTCTCCACTCTGACCCCACAATTCATGGCCTTGAACCCAAAGGGTCAGGGTCTCAGTGCTCTGGTCCCTTTCCGTATAAGCAACCCACAGCTCTAGCCCAACATACCTTTTACCTGCACACAAACACAAGATGTTTCTGTCTCTGGTTTGAATTGCATCTATCCATCAAAACTCAGCTCAAGTTCCCCTCCTCCCCAGAGCCCCGGACCCACTTTTTCTTCTCACCACTGAGGTATCTCGCCGACACGCCGATGTTTGCACCTCGGAAAAGGTATTGCTCTAAGGACCTCTGAGCTCATGTGACAGGTAGGGAGACTGAATGAAGCTGCCATGAAAGAACACTCCTGAATCAGTTACGACTTAGCACTTGCTCTTTGTTCAAGTTCATGAACGAGGGAGAAGGGTGTTGGATAACAAGTGCACCCCCTCACTGACGCCCCTACCCCCAAAGCTCAGTCTGGGACTTAAGAATGGATGACCTTGCATCTTAGGTTGTGATTTATGCTATTCCAGAATATCAACCTTTGCAATTACAAACCCAGGCAAAACTTTATAAACAGTAAGTCAAACAAAAACAATTTTTAGGAAAACTGTTTAGCAGTAAATACTAAACCTAAGTGTATACATACCCTATGACAACAATTCCCTTCCTGGGTATTACCCAATAGAAATGCTTAAATTTATGAACCAAAAGACATGTACAAGAATATTTATAATAGTATTATTCAAAATAGCACCAAACTGAGAACTAGCGACGAGCCCATGAACATGGGCTAAATATCGGAGTGCATTCACACAGAATATACAGCACAGGGGGCAAACACAAGGCCCGTGGGCCGAACCCGGCCCTCCACCTTGTTTTATCTGGCCCAGCCCTTTGTTTCTACCCAGCGGCAGTGCCAACTCCCTTGCCCCTAGTTAAGGAGTAGTTACATTTCCACAGTCCTAAAATTACATTCACCCCTTTGAAGGCAACCACAAGGCTGCTGTGGCCCCCGGTGAAAATGAGTTTGACACCTCTTCTATACAGCATTGAGAATAAACAAACCAGAACGACATGCTAAAATATGGATAGAATTTGCATAGTACTGAGTGAAAAAGTCTAAACACAGAAACTCTATGATTCTCTTGATGTAATTTTCAGGGAAAGGCCAAACCGATCATGTGTTACAAATCAGCTCAGTGATTACTCTTGAGGTGGAGAGGGTAACGCACCAGCGATTGTTTTGATGGTCAGGAGAGAGATTTAGAAGAGAATTTGAAAAGTGGTAGATCTATTTCATTGAAACACGGCTCTACCGAGTGCTTCATCCTGGGCCGGGTGTTGCCCTAGATGGTAGGGGTGCATGATGAATTAGAACTTTTGTCCTCAAGGGGTCCCAGTCCCACAGATGGGCTCTCACTCTAGAGAAGTGCAAGGTGCTCACTCTGTTTAATGGTCAGTTCCCACCCATCCAAGAATCCTTTCCAGACTTTTAGAGAGTGAACTAGGGAGTCAAAAATACTCTCTCACCTTGTTGAGTCTGGAAGATCTCCCTAAACACCAAAATCTAGGTCTACCCTGCTGGCTCAAGCTAGGATCACAGTTCCAGTTCCTGTGTCTGACTATATCTGACACGTCTGAAACAGAAATGTTTAAGCCATAACCAAGCTCAATCCCACCTAAACAAACAGTATCTCCTCTCTCCATAGGAGGGGACTGATTATAAGCTGAGCTGGCTGCTTTCTTCCAGAGCCTCAGTTAGTGATCTCAGATGCCCAGAGGCCAGGAAACTGCTCAAACCTGTGTAATTTCTAGATTTCTCATCTAAGCCAGGGCCCCTCCACCTCAGCCCCACAGTGATAACTATCATGTGAAGGACTATTTTGTTCTCAACTTGTCATCAATGACTTCTTCACACCTGACTGCACAGAGAAAGTCAAACTGGCCTTGCTGCCCATTCACACCCAGAGACCATCCTTTTTCCTGGAATATTAGGGTCCTTTGAGGCCCCAGGCCACCTCTAGACCCCTTCCCAAATGGGTCTTCCGAAGACCCTTCCAGACCCTTCAGAAGGCCCCTGCAAGGGCCTGAGCCCTGGGAAATGGCAATGGCTAGCAGTGTCAGCAACTCCCCCAAATGACCATTTGTTTAATAGAAATCAGAGCTGACAGACCTCCAGGATCACTTAGGCCAAAACACCCCCTTATTTAATGAGAAGACTGAGGTCAGAGGGCTGAAGTCTATTCCTTAAGTCACACCGGTAAGCAATACCAAAGCTGAGAACCAAATTCACATCTCCAGACTCCAGGGCCCTTTCCAGAAAAACTCTGACCTGCAAAGTTCAAATCAGAAGCAGCAACTACGTTTCTCTCACTTCTGAACCCAGACCTTGCAGAGGATTCTAAGGGCTCTGGACTAAATCGAACCCACCCCTGGAGGTAAAGAAATGTACCTGCACAGGAGATCTCGCTTCTTCAAGCAATTGGGCAGGGTCTAGTCTTGATGCAGTCAAACACCTGCTGCCCAGGCCACTCTTATACATATATACAGTCCTTTCCATGCACAGGGCTGGTCCAAGAGTCTCCAGAGCTTTGGCTCCTCCCCACTGTGCATTCTCTGGAAGGGAGGGGAGCTCCAGACCTTTGTGATTGTATCAGCTGAATCTAATCATTTTCTTAGAATGACAACCATACAGAGCTTGTGCCAGTAATGCTTTGACAAGAAAGAGAGTTAGTCATCTTCAGCTCTGTTATGACATTCTATGACTCTGTTTGGGGCCTGCCTTGAGCAAACATGTAAAGGTCAAGTTTGTTTCTGGCTTCCAGACCCACTTCCTGGTTGAATGCCTTACTTTCTGGAAATTTTTTTTCAGGGTCCCAGTGCCCTACATTAGCCTGCCCTTCCCCCAAACCTGGGTGTACTCCCTAAATATGTCCTTTCATTTCCTCCTGTCACTATTCTCATTCCTCAGGGCACTGGAAAGCAATCGGGTGGATGAGTTCTCAAAAATGTGTGACTGTGTAACTTGCTCACAAATCCTTAACCTTAGCACAGGTATTTGCACTTTTTAAAATAAAATACTCACCCAAATGAATCCCTGATTATTGAAGTTTCGGGCAGTAAAATAATAAGTGAAAAAGTCCAGTTGAGGAGTAAATTAGGTGTCAAGTACATAATAGTAACTGCTAACAAGTGTTCATTCACACTCACACAGGTCCTTTATGTTATTTAATTAGACTCACAATAAAATAAATAAAAAACCCTAGTAAAACTGTGATGTGTCCAATACAACTGTGAATGGGAACAACTACTCAAATACTTGTGCGTGCACCGTACGCACACCTCCTGCACACCATCATAAACGCCACATGCATTGATTCCAATGTTTTGCAAGTACAAGAATTCAACAAGAAAATCATGAGATAGTAGAGCTTTGGCAAGGGTCACTTCCAGCAGCTCTGTAGACAGGGGTTGTCATCCTAGGGGCTACAGCCCCACCAAAGCTTCATAAAATTAATTGACAGGTTCTACTATTCTCTGTTTTCCGCCCCCCCAACTTTATTTTTGTTCAGTTGACTATATGATTTCACAACTAGGATCCAGCAAGGTAAAGAGAAGGGATTTTACTTGTGAATGGAAGAAAACATAACACCAAGTTCAGCAGAATGAAAGAAAAAAGTCATGGTTCCATATATTATGTAACTTTCGAGCATTAAAATTTTATCCCCAAACCAAGATAATAAAAAGAGGTTTTGTGGTCTAGCTCATAATAAAAGTCATCTCTAAGTTTCCAAAGTAAATTCTAAGACCTTTTTTCCCCCATAGAAGGGTGTTTTCCTAAGTTATCAGAAAGCTAGTAGAATTTCAAGGACACTTATTTCTAACGCATAACCCAAGTTAACTCAAACTGACAAAGTGTGTTCTATCTGAGAAGGGCTTGGGATGCACTGGAGGGCAGGCAGATGGGGAGGCAGGGCAGGCACCAGGACATGGTAACCGGGTCGGGTAAACGTAAACGATGCAGAAATGCACCAAGATCAAGCTTTAGGCGGACAGGCATCATCAGAAAGTGTCCAAAGCAGCCATCATGACCTGGCCACAGAGCACATCAGGACTCCTGGGGAAGTGGCAGAGGTAAGGCTGACCTCAGATCATAGGAAAGGGGGTCCTGGGCAAGGAGCCCTTAGTGGTATCAGGATGTAAGGCAATTGCTTGACCATAGGAAATCAAATAAGTAAAGAGCACACTTATTGAGACAGTTCAAGGGCTCACAAAATACTTAAATTGGGTCATAGATCTTTCCCCAGAATTGGTCAGTAAATCTTGATGGGAGGAAGTTAAATGGAAGTAGAAGCAGGGGCCTCCCTTCATCACCCTCCTTTCTGGACATTGTCTTCTCCGCCCCACCTCCTCTGGTACAATATTGGTCCATGGGAGCATGTTTGGATAGCACTGGAGTCATGCTGGGGCAACACCTGGGACACACACACTACACATGACAGGCATACAACATGTCAGTTGGATGAGTAGGACATTTTGGCATTTCTTTAGCAGGTTCATGAAATGTTCATTAATCTGGCATTCTCATCTCTTTTTAAATATGTTTTCTCCTTGATCATTGGAAAAAATCAGATCACCAATATATTAAAAAGTTAGTAAGTTCAATAGTCAAGTGCCACTGACTCAATTACAAAATACAGACCTTGAAGGACAGAACTTCATTTATTAACAATACATGCCCAGAAATCACACAATTATGATTTTGGACTTTTCCCTCAAACAAATACTGTTCAAAGAGAGACAATAAGGAATGGTCTGCAGTATAGTTTGTTTTTTTGTTTCTTTTTTAGCTCTTGGTCTGGTTCCCTGATGTATAAAAATGTCTAAACTTCTTTCTTTCAAAGTCTTATAGTGTACATCCTTGTTTTCTGCCTCTATTCTTAATTGTGTTCTTGGCACTATTAAACTTGTCCAGATCAATATGGGACCACAACACGTATTTCTAACCATTCCTCCTGACCCTTACTTTCTTCCTGACATTATTTTCCCCTGAGTGTCTTACCGTTTCACCTCTACTAATGTCTGTTTTGGCTTGTTGATTGTTTGTTTTCACTTTGACTTGGGACCTGGCCTATCTTCTCTGGCAGAAACTTTGTCATTAGGATGCTTGTGACAGGGAAAAGTGAGTGTCAGGGAGAACAGCGTGGTTTCTGTGTTTCCTTCCAAGAGGTGGTGGCAAGATTTCTGTTAGGAAAGAAGTTCCAATGAAAAAAGAAAGAAAGAAGAAAAGAGAGAGGGAGGGAAGGACAAAGGAAGGAAGGAAGAGGGAAGAAGAAAGAAGGGAGAGAGGGAGGGAGGGGGATGATAGAGAGAGAGAGAAACCAAAACAAACAAAACAGGCCAGATTAAGAAGAAAGAAAGGAAAGAAGCCTTCATGGTCAGTAAGCCGTGACTGATCCCTGGGGTTCAATAATGAGGCAGAAGACAGGGTGCAGGTAGGGTGACGGCTCAGGTAGGGAGAGCAGCACCCATTCCTGGGAGCTGACTCATGCAAAACCATCTAAAGGGGTGTCTGTGCGTGGAGGCTTCCGGGTCGAAATCAAAGGCACTCCTCACATTAACAATTACATCTATTAGCCACCCTCACCTTGCCTTCCCCTCAAAGAAGGCACTATTATCTATCCAGAAAACAATATGCTTTTATGGAGAAGTTGTGTGGGCTGAAGTTTTCAGCAGGAACATAACATATTTATGTTGAAGTGTTTTCCTGCTACATTTCCATGGAAGGGTGTGTGTGTGTGTGTGTGTGTGTGTGTGTGTATGTCTCAACAAATAAAACCGGAAAAATCCCTTTAACTAAAGAGCATAATCTCTGATAAGCTTTTGAGTCCAGGCTTTAGGGAATGAGGAGCAGCTCTGACTAATGTTTTCAAAGCAGCTCTGAAAACATTAGTCACCTGAGGGCCTCGTACCTAGACCTCCTCTGTGCCCAGGAGGGTTTTACCATGATCTGCCCTTTCTAGAATTGTGTGACTTTATGTTCCAGAAAGAGCTTACCTTTGGAGCCAGATAAAGCTGTGGTTTGAGCCCAACTTTCCCACAGATTAGTTGGAGAGACTTGAGTCATTAACACACCTCTGACTTATTCGTAACATCTACGAAATAGGAATCATAGCTACTTTGTAAGATTAGTGGAAGAATTCAACTATTCACATTATAATGAATGCAAAACATTTAGTCCGGTGGCTGATACAGAGTGAGCACTTAATACATTTTGTTAAAGACATTATTACGGTTATTTCGAATGATTAGATTCAGTGCTTACTGAGAGGTCTTTGGGAGCCTCTAACCCCTGGGACCTTGTGTGAGTTGCTCACAGGATACCCAGGGGTGCCTGGCCTAGACACCTGAATGTTTAAGGTTATGGGCAGGAGGGTGGTAACCGAGGTCATGCACGTGGGTAATATCACAGTAAAGAGAGGGTGAGTGAGCAGTAGATTCACTGCATTTGGCTCGTTCCGTACCCATAGTTTTTGCCCTCCCGTGTGACAGCCCTTCAAATATAACCGTTACAATTTTAGTTCTTTTAATTATTCCCAACACAACATAGTGATGGTTGTCCTAGGCCACAGCAAGCCACGTCCAAATATATGAATGGGTTCAAGCCTTTACACTTCATGAAACAGTGGTGCTCCTCCTGCCCTGCCTCATGTTAGCTACTAAGCTTCGGTTGCTCTGTGTGGGAGAGCAATGGCACTGTGAACTGTCGCTGTGAAAGTGAAATGCGTCGTCTCTGTGAGACCACCTCGTATAATGCCTCCCCTATGACAAGCTCTAAGTCAGCAGTGATAGTTGTCATTTCCTACGCAGCTGGTATCTCATGCTCATTTTTGGCAACTACATCTTAGCGTTGACTCACATTGACTTTGCTGTATATTAAACCTCGTGTCTCTTCAATGTGTAAATTCTGTGCCATCCCGTGAGGCAGCAATTTTCAACTGGTGTGCTGCAACATTTTTAAAACATGCAATACCTGATTATTTAGTCAGGGGAACTGACCTCTACTTCCTTAGATTGTCACATTAAAAACTGAAAACAGCCAACACGACACTAGCCATCCAGTGTGAATGCCTTGAACCATAAATACATAGGTCATATAACAGAGTTGCATCTTAGTGATCATGTCGCATAATAAGTTTGCATCGAATTGGTTAGATCTTGACAGCAGAAATCCTTACATGCAAGTATAGGCACCTGATTTTTTTTTAAAGTCACTTTGGAGCAAAGAGGATAGGTTATTATTATTATTATTAATATTAATATCGTTGTTGTAAATCAGTCACAATTATACCTATTTCTTGTCACATTGGCAAAAAAATATATTTTTGATGTGCTGCAGAATTTTAGCAATTAATTTATGGGTGACATCTGATGAACAAGGCTGGAAGTCACTGCCATAAAGGAAGCTCCCTTGGAGAAGGCACTGGGACGGGACTGCAGTGTCCCCTGGCTGTCCG